CTTTTTGATTGCCAGCGGCCGGGGGGGGGGGATACTTTAAACGTGTCCTCTTTAAACACAGCTACAGCAGCAACCCAAAATTTTGCTACCTCTTTCATTTCACTTAGGTTTACAATGGAATCACAAAATTATAAGTATTAAAGGATGAAATTAGGCCTGAACAGTCTGTTTTCTAATCCGTAATAGTTTCATATGCATTCTCTCATAATTCCATCCTGTCTCTTAATAGCATCATTCCACAATTATCTTTTTAAATGCATAATCATCTGCATTAAAATAAACTTTTAAAAAAACAAAACACACACTTCTGTAATGATTTTATGCTAAAATAAGCATTTTATATATGCATTGATAATACACAGGTTGGTACACTCCAAAAATTATTGCATAATTCATAGAAGTGTGAAACCCAAAGCATAAACCAAAGTTTCATCCATATATTAGTCTGGGAGGTGTGGATAAGGCCAGTTCACATAGAAGTCTGGAATGAATAAAAATACTGAGCATTGTTGTTTTAAATGTAAAACAGCCAACACTTCACTGATTGTTTTGTCACTAAGCTATCTGGCCAACTTCCATTTGGAAAGCAAACTCTTAATTCAAAGGATCAGTACAAACAATGAATTATTTGCTGCCTTCTTCCAAACTACAGTTTTGTTTTGTATTATTCATTTATTTGGGATGGCTTTTGGGGAGGGGGATTGGCTGCATTAGCTGAATTATTCAAGTCATCAGCCCAAGTCTAACGAGAGTAGAAATAAAGCCACGATGGGTATGTAAAACTTCCATCAGCATGTCATGCAAGATCTACATTTTAATCGCCCTTATTACCAATATAGCATTTGACAAGCTCACTCCGTCTGCCCCTGCCAATCATTCCCCAGTTTATCTTCCAACCATGTTATTTCTTTTATACTCAAAAGCTAGACTGTCTGAGCATCATTAATTCATATGATACTTTGGAAGACATGCCCCCATTCCTCTCAGCCAGCAGTTAGTGAGCCTCAGAAGCAGGAAGCCCAACTCCGCTCCAATAAAGAAAGCTCTTCCCACATTCCGGAAAAAGGGATGCTGCCAGCAGACAACTTGCCATCTGTAAGGGTTCCCTCCCACCATCATTGACTGCTACGCTCAAAAGGAACATTAAAAAAGAGGTATCTAGCTGGAACCAGTCACTCGACTGCCAGGTAGTCAGTGACTATTTGGAGTCCTGACGGAATTATCCTCATTGCCATTTGACTCCTGTATTACATGCTGCCAGCAAATAGGTGCCTTGCTAGAGGCAACTACATTCCACAGCCATGAGCATCTCCCTTAGATTTAAGTTCCTTCATTTAAGGAGGTGGGGGCAAAGATGCAATGTGTGGTATCTCAGATGTTGTCAAAGTCCACCTCCTAGCAGCTGTAGCTGGAGAGCCAATGATGAGAATACTGGAAGCACCAGTCCAACAACATCTGGTGGCATTAAGTGGTTCCATATTAATGGCTCCATTGAGAATAACTATTTTAGATTTATGCAATAACTATGTATAAATATAGAAAAGTAGGAAATATCATAGCCACTTTCACAAAGAACCTTCTACCAGCACAAGCTTAAAGCACTCAACAAACCTATGCTTCTCTTTAACCTATGTGCCACACGCTTTTCCCCATACTTATATGTGGCTGTTGAATGCCTGAACTACTGAAAATTCTTTGCCATTGGTAGAGGCTCAGGTTTGAATAAAACTAGATTCTTTTTTAAATACTGTATTGCTGTTAAGGCACAAATTGTTTGGCATCACATGGATCCTTGTGCTTTCAATTATAATACTTGCAGATTACTTTTCAAATATAACAGCTTTCAAAGCAATTCACAATTTTAAAAAAAGATCCTAGAAAAAAATTGTACTGAAAACTAGCACATTAGAATGGCTGTTTTAAAAAGAATCTAGTTCCTTGTTGTTGTTGTTGTTTAGTCGTTAAGTCATGTCCGACTCTTCGTGACCCCATGGACCAGAGCACGCCAGGCCCTCCTGTCTTCCACTGCCTGCCGGAGTTGGGTCAAATTCATGTTGGTTGCTTCGCAGACACTGTCCAGTCATCTCAACCTCTGTCGTCCCTGTCTCCTCTTGCTTTTACATTTTCCCAACATCAGGGTCTTTTCCAGCGAGTCTTCTCTTCTCATGAGATGGCCAAAGTATTGGAGCCTCAGCTTCAGGATCTGTCCTTCCAGTGAGCACTCAGGGTTGATTTCCTTCAGAATGGATAGGTTTGTTCTTCTTGCAGTCTAGGGGACTCTCAAGAGTTTTCTCCTTGTTACTTCTCAGTAAAGATTTACTAAAGTATTATTTTCAGTTTTCAAAGAAACCACTTAAAATCCAGAACTGATTCCAAGTTCCTTGAAATGATGCTCCAAAATAATGCTTTAAAGTAAATTTATTACTTATGCACCCAGTTTTACTGATATTAGCAGTCATTGCATTATTTTTCAAAGACATATTGTAACCCATGCATTAGTCAAGAAGTAATGCATTGCAAGTAATGTCACATTACTTCCAAGCAGTAATAAGAAAGCCAACGCTTATTAGGGGGGCATATTACCTTCATAGTGAATAAACAAAGGCAAATCAGTGCTCTCAAGTGACATTACCCAATGTGGCTCTTGGCTTTGTTCCTCTCAGAGGAGGTGTTTCTCAGACAGAAATGTTGCCAGTTTTCTGTGGCCACTTTGAATGCACTTTTCTGTCCCTACTGCAGCTCTTGTGGGCATAACAATATGTGGATCGCAAACCATCAGATTAACATTTTTAAGAAAAAGAGTGCACCACAAATTTCCCACAATAAAATTGTTTTCTCATTCTTTCTTCTTCTTCTATACTCAGTTTGTTACGGTGCCTTGCCTCCTATTTTATCTGCCTGGCTGCCAGTTCTAGGAGTGCTATGTCCTCTTTTACCTCCCTTCTCTCTACTGGGAGAGCAAAAAGAGGATGCATTATTCAATCATCACTATTATTGCTTGTTTATCTTTTTATTCAAACTAATAGAAACTTTAGGCCAGGAGCCAGTGCTGGACTGTCACAGAAGGATCAGTGGAAATCAGTGGAAGGGAGATGGTTTCCTCTATCTATTGCACGTATCCTTTTGCACTCCTAAAATCTCCCCCAGAAGGCTGGAAAACCCTACACAGCTGGTTTTCAGGCAGTTCTGATAGAAAGAGAAAGGGAAGGAAATGTCATCACACTGGTACTGTTACACTAATCTACTGAGCTGTTAACTCTGTTTAAAAAGATCCATATTAATCAGTTATATTTTCTAAACACTCACAAACCAACTATTTAATTGTCTCTTCCACAACCTTTCCTGGTATTGACACGAAGCTCTACGGGTTCCACATTCCCCAGACCGTATTTAACACTGGGTGAAATCCTCTTGCTTAGAATAGTAAACTGCACTACAGCAGGGACATTCAATCTGTGGGGATTTGGTGAGTTAACTCCTCTCTAAGTTCCATTGATTAACTTCCTTCAGTGTAGAAAACTGCAAATAGAGTAGGCCCATTTGAATGAAGAGCTGAAATCCTGTTGCATAGATATACGGGCATAATTCAGCATTATGCTTGTGATAGCTACAACAGTGCCACGTCAGAAGTGCTGCCCACAAAGCACTTCTATGGCAAATAGGTCGTCTGCATTGCCTGAGTGTAATACCCAGCAAAGTTTCACCTGTGTAACTTTACAAACTAGATTCCAGCCCATGAAAATCAGAGAGGAGTTGACTCACAAAATTTCCACTGATTCAATGGGCCTGATCTAGTGCAGCGTACTATAGTAACCTACAAGATTTCAGCCAATGTCACTATACTTGCTTAAGGTCCTGCCATTTATCAGTTAGAAGGCAAGCCACTAAAAACAAGTTATTTTTAAAAGGTTGGGATCTGCTGCTGTTTATCTACCTGCACTATAACTTTTTGCCAGTTGAGTGGAGGAAAGCTAGCAGCAGGCATCATTACATGAGACTTTTAAGTGTTCAGTCATTCCATTAGTCCACCAATGACAACCCCCAGTGTTCCCTTCTAATAATGAGTGTTTGTATTTCTTTCAAGGCTTAACATTGTGAGAATGTTCTTGGATGTGGGCACCGAATTAAAAACAAAAACTCTACTGCCAAGGACAAAGTAATGTTCCCAGGAGTGAGGCAGAGGAGAACAGATGAAGGTGTTCGGGAAGCAGTAATCAATGCACTATATCAGCAATGTTCTAAAAAGAATCTAGAATGGGAGGGATTAAATTATGACTCTGATATCCTATCACATTAATATTTTAAATACTTGTCCTCAAGGAAGCTGCAGGCAGGTCTTATCAGACAATCTTGATCAAAAGATTGTGACGGCATTAGCAAAACTCAATGTGCATTGTATATATGCAGCAGATTGTGTCAAAATGAATTTTTAGCAAGAATGGAAACTTTACAGGACTCTGAAGTACACAGGAAAAGGAAAAGAAGAGTCTTCTGTTCCTTTGTCAAAGAAATACTAGTCTCCCTCAAAATGAAATACATGAATTGCTCCTTTATCTCTCAGCTACACATATAATCTTATCATCTGCATTCTGCAAAATTATAAATATACCATTAATATGCAGCTTTGTCTCTGCAGC